AAGTTTGATTGAAAATACTTATTTGAACTGAATGAAAGAGAGGATCAAAACTATTGTATCACACCTTGTGGGTAAAAGGGGTGAAGGAAGGGTAAAAAGATTTCATTGCCTTTGAAACAACATTTTCTAGCAGCAGAAATTGTCAGCTGCTAGTCAGAATTCTTAATGGCTTTTATGTAAAACAGACAAAACACCTAAAACCAAAACCCACTTGAATGGCTCTCAACATTATCATTCTCTATTCATACCCATCAAGTACTTCTACAAGCTCTGAGTGACTTCAGCTGGCAAAGTACCAAAAAGTAGTTATTAATATTTGCCCCTTAAAAATGGGATGGTGTCAAGCCCAGGTAATTTTGAATTGTAATCTTCAGAGCTGTTGCCTTCTTACATCCCAGCTGAGGACAAGGGTAGCTGGAGGAGCTTCTCCTAGGAGAGGATAGAACTGGGCTGTGTTGGGTTTGTGCTGTGCTGACACAGGTAACCGAGCTGAGAGCAGGGCTGGGAGACTTTGCCTCTCTCTGCACCTGCCCTTTCCAGAAAGCTCTAAATGACTTGCCAGGAACAGAACCCAGGTCTGTGCCGTGGTAGTGATCTTTCTGCTCTCTGCGTGTATTTTTGAGATGAATACACGTTAAAACTTACCTTGTAACCATAAAAATCAGTAAAAATTACCCTGCTTGGAATAAAAATATCAGACCCACTTGTGGTTATTTAGAAGAGGAAAAGGTCGTCACGTGTTGCATTAGTGATGAGGTCTGTGCAGCAGAGATTTTTAGGAGATGCTCTGTATTCTCAGTGCAGCACTGATGGCTACTCTGGGGCAGAGCTATTTAAAATAATAGTTTCACTTCATTAAACTATGAGTTTCTTCAATACAAAGTACAGTCCAGAGAGAAGTCTTTTTTTAGTATGCTCTTAAGAAGTCAACAGTCCATTGCTTCCTGATGTATATCCTTGACTGTGGGAACAAATGCTGCTGTAACTACTCTGAGTCCCATCCTTTTTCAAAGAGGTAAAGTGTTTCTCTAATTAAAAAAAATTGGGATTATTTGTCTAAATTTTTCCATGTAACCTGAATTAGAGCACTGTGGATTTGGGTCCCAATGTAATATGCATGCAATTAAAAAATCAATGTATAAAACAGAGCCCAGAAGAGAATTATATTTAACAGGAGACAGAAAATCAAAACAGATTCCAAACAAATTAGAAATTAATACTCAGTTTGAGCTGAGTTTGCCTTATAGGGGAAGCTTATTAATGTAACTAAGGTGGTTTTTTTTTTGCCAGAACTCCTCATCAGTATTATTTGCCCATGCCACATCTCTGTTTGGTGACTTAAAACAGCAACACATGTGGCAGATCAACAATGGTAAAATGCCAAGAAGATAATTAAAGCTTTACATTACAACGTTGGAACTTCCAATATATTGGAAGGTGCTGATACAAATGCCGAGCACCTGATCTGTACCAGTATCACCCAAAAGAAGCAATATAGCTTTTAGTGTAGAGAAATATCCTGTATTTCCCAGATCTAATAAAGTTTATTGGATCCTTAATTTGTTTTAGAAAATGATCCAAGTGCTTTGCATTTGTTTAACCTAATCCAATCTTAACCATTGGTAAGATGAAAGCCCTTTGTCTTTCATGTCACACGGAGAAAGATCTACTAAAATATATTGCTTTTGGAAGAGAATGGTCACCTGTGTTTACAACAGCAACCGAAACAATGAGAAACCCACCCTCTTTCATATAGGTTTAAATAGTTTAAAAAGCGCTGGAAGTCTTACAACTGTTTGCTAACTAAAATATTTACAGGAAGAGAGGGTTCAGGGGAGACCTTATTACTGTCTGCAGCTGGCTGACTGGAGAACAGGGAGGAGGCAGAACCAAACTGTTCTCACAGGTGCACAGGGATCACTCGAGAGGCAATTGGTGCAAGTTGGAACTTAGGAAATTCTGGTTAATTATAAGGAAAAATTGTTTTACCATCTGTAGCAGCTGAAATGACTCCAAGGCATTTGATTTGACAGTATGCATGGCAAAATCATTTGCATCTGGGGCAGTATGTGTCAGGCTGTTTTTCATGGAGTTTGGAAGTAAAGAAGCAACAATGGGATTGTTTCTGTATTTCCCAATGTCAACATAGTTGAAAATAACAGGAGTTAGAATGCTGACTTTTGATGCTGAAAAATGAAAATTGGAAAGATAGACCTGTTTTAATTAAAAAAACCCCTAACCTAATCAAACCAAATCAAAAAACACAAAAAGAAGAAAAAGAAACTAATTCAGGATATGGCCTCATGTTATGAACTTCTTTATGTGTCCATGCTTTGGTAGGAGTAGGAACATCTTCAATGTTACAGGTTGACAGTGGAATATATTTTACTCTGACTTTTCAATGAAATCCAGCACAGATTCAGGGGTTTCCCCAGTGCTTTCCTTCAGGTAACCTGTGTTGTAGTGGCAAGTGTTTTATGGACTTCCCTATTCCTATGCCCAGTTCTGCTGCTTGCCTTCCTGATCCCACACCATTCCTTGGTGATAGTGTCCATTAATGAGCAGCACATGCTTTCTTATCTTTACTGACTGAGATTTTTTCTGTCTGAAGCAGGTGAAGAAGCTCGTACAAGGTCAGCTGGTTATTTACAGCTATCCAGTAGTCCACTGAATGTCTGCTCTGGGTACCTGGGGTCCATAGGTCCATTTGGATGGACATCTTAGAATGTATTTGGTGCATTTAAGCACCGCTGCTCCTTTCCTCCCTTGAGTTACTGCAGCATTTTCCTCTTTGTTTAATTCATTTAAAAAAGAAAATGTTTAATGAGCCCCACTTGTGATTTTCCAACTGTTGGGCTGAAAACTGTCATTTCTAAGAGGTTATATTAATGGTGCTGTTATCTCTTGATCATGTCAATGTTAATGCATGTATGTGCTGTTTCTGCCTCATTTCCACATAATTACAAGCCTGCATTTGGCAAATGAGGGTATGTTTGCTTTCTTGATTAAGAAGGTTCTAAGAAATTTTTACATGCTTGGTAGGACATAACTTATGAAAAGAGCTGGTTAAGAAGAGAAGCTCAGCAGTAGAGATTCTTAGCATTTCCCTAATACTTTCCTCTGCTGGGCAGAAAGCACTTTGTGAATACTAATGAAATCAGCTTTGCATTACCCCGATGAAGAAGCTGTGTGTTATTCCTATGAGAAGATGGAGGCACAGCATGATTAAGTGACTTGTCTGGATTCATATGGCTGCTGGGATTCCAGCATTTGCTCAGGTGTTGGCTTGCTGCACTAGACCCAAAGATCAAGCTGGAACACAGTGCAGGCTTGGCAAAGTCTCTTTTTTAACTTCTTTCTTTCCTTCTTTCTTTTTCTTTCTGGAAGCTACTATTTTGTGTCCTAAAAGTGAAGCTCTTGTCTAAATTAAAATGTCTCTGCTCTTTTATGGCTGGGAAGTTAATATCCAAAACATGACCTGCATGCCATCAATTCCTGTAGTCAGCCTCACATAAATATTAGAGAGGATTGAACTGCAGATGTTTCTCCCATGATGGGTTGGTTCAAAAGGTTGTCATGAAGACTTGGATGATGATGGCAGCCAATGAACTGTTTTTGCTCCAGTCAAATGAGGCAAGGAAGAAGCAGGGTGGGCACACTAATGTGCTAGAAGAGACTGTACACATCCCATCTTCTACATCAGAGGGAATGGATATTGGGTTGTATGTGAATTCCCTTTTCTTTCCACTCCGATCCCTTCCTGGGTCACAAAGGGAAGAGCTGACCCTTGGAGGTGATCAGTGGTTCACCTTCATTCAGTCACCCAGTGAAAGCCATCATTTAATGATGTTCTTTTCTGAAGAGCTTTCCCATGTCCCTTCATAGCTCTGGCATTGCCAGGACTGCATGTTTCAGACTGGCTTCTTCTACTGTAGCATTTGAAAGGAGCAGCGTTACTATGTGCTCTCTTGTTGTATAATGCTGGTTATGACTTACTAAGGTTGTTTTAGTAGCTATTGTAATTTTTCTTCTGTAATATTATAATAATATTTGTCTGTATGGTCTTCAGAAAGAGCTGGGAAACATATCAATAATCTTCTGTGGTTGTGAGTTTGTTTGTGGCATAAGCCTCTCCTTTTTTTGCCTGGTCTGCTGAGCACAAAATTTTGGGTCAGTTTTGAAGCCTCAACTACATGTGCACACACAAGCATTCGACAGAAGCTGGGTCATGTCAGTCTGCTCATTATTGTAAAAAATATCTTAGTGGTGAAAATTGGTGTTGTTTTGTTTGTTTGTTTGTTTGTTTTGGTTTTTTGAATTGCAGAAGGGAGGTAGAGTGCTTTGCTGTCTTAACAGCCTCACACCTGGCAGAATCAGTTAAAATGGAAAGTTATGGCAGCATGAAGATCAGAGCAGACTCTGACAGAGTGCAGCTGGTTCAAATCAGTCTTCATTAATCTATCATCTGTGACTGGTGGTGAAAAGTTGTCAAGGTTACTACATACAGGACAGGGCTAATGGTGGTTATTCCTTGGGGATCTGGGCTTTCACCCACATTTATATCAAGCCCTAAATGAATAATACTTAAAATTGAAGGGAGGCAGTGATGTCCAGCAAAGGCTTATTCCCTTCTTTCTGAATTTACTTGGGTTTAGATCCTCAAGCAGGCAGTTATGGGACAAGCTACTACTTTTGGAAGACCAAAGCTAAAATGCTTATAACTTTAATAGCCCTGGCAAAGTCCGTGTCTTCAGGTGTACTTGGGTTTTGCTACTGAAGTGCCACAGGTGCCTTAAATTCTGCTGCTTGGGTCCCAGAGAGTCAGTCCCACCTGTGCTGGGTGGGCCAGCCTCTATATGGGGCTGTGGTCGCCCTGTGCTTGTTTTTACTGGGGCTGCTGATCTAATAGGTATTTGTCAGGGCCTGTGTAGGCTCTCTGCTGCCCTATAGAAGGGGAAAGTGGTATTATAGGAGGACTAATGTTTTTTTCCTTTATTTAGGAAGAATTGACCCGTCAGAGTAAGTGTTCTGGCTGCTAGACCACGTTCCCTTTGGAGAAAGGAACAGATGGCTGCTGAGAGAAGATAGAGTGAGTATGATGTTTTTCACTTTGGGATTGGGAGACAGTGGGAGAGGGAGAAACTTGGAATCCTAAGTAATATATGAAATAGTAATAAATTGGAAGGAAGGACTGCAATTCAAGTTGTTTTCCTCTGCTGTTGTACCTTGGGTATTGTGCTCCTCTCTGGTGAGTGACTGTGTAACTGCTCGATGTGGAGGAGATCTGCCTAGTCTGTAGGAGTGCAAGCAATGCTCTTTCTTCTTTGCCCCAAGTAGCTTGTTGCTGGAGTATCCTCCTTGAAGCAGGGTGTGCTTGGGTTCCCTCTGGCAAGGAGGGACCCGAACCTCTGACTTTCTGTGTACTTGATCCTAGGGTTAGGTGGGCTGCATTAATAATAATAATGGCCCATCTTCGCGAACGAAGATTTGGGGAAAGGTCTTTTACCTTTCCAGCCTGCGCAATGGATTTTTTAGGTGAGACACAGCCTGCGCTGAACTGAGCCCACCCTTTAATCCTAAGGTTCATCTGCTGGGGCCAAGCAAGCTTGGACAATGGCAGTGAGGTCCTCAGGATGTAGGTTTGTTTAGAGTGTCCTTCTCATAGATGGATGGCCACACAGGGCTAACGACCTCCATCAGGCCAGGAGACCGGGGATTCGAACCCGTGGTCGCAGCAGTGAAAGTCCTGCACACTAACCACTAGGCCACCAGGGGTCTCAAGGTGGGCTGCATTAGAGCAAAGTTTAAAGACATTTTGTTCCTAGTAAATCTATAATTGCTGGCCAGGTCAATAGCTTTTTATGTGTCAGTAGAAAACATTGCAGGCTGCTGGGGGACAGGTGTTGGTTAGCATAAAGAATGGTTAAAAAAAGCAGGAGTGGTGCTTCAAAAAGGCTTCTTTCCATTGAAAAAATTAGTGATACTTTCTGAGGTGTATAGGGAGGTCCATCTCTGCAGCTGAAAGCAAAAGTACTTTGGAGAAATGGGCTTTTTGTGCTCTCAGCACTCCCTGCTTTAGGAGACTCCTGTTGTGTTTGTGGGAGTTCCTGTAATTACCACAGGAGTTGGGGTCATAACAACAGAGAGCCCTGAACATCCCAGATAACTAATAAACCATGGCAGGAGAACATGGGAGGGAGTGGTGGTGTTACTTTGCTTCTGGACTCTGTGCTGGGTGGTGACCCTGGTCCTGGTGTGTGTTACAATGGGGTTATGCTTCAGCTGAAGCCTCAGAGGGCTCAGTGTTCAGTGGATGGGTTGTTGTGGTCCCCCTTCTGCAGGACCCCATGGTTTGTGTGGTGTGTAGGGATCCATGGGAGTGTTGTTCAGGTGCCCTGTGCTCCTTTACAAGGCAAAACAATGCTAAAACATGGGGAGCTACAAAACTCTGCAGAGACATTTAGTGGCTGCGGCTTTAAGTTCTTTTGAATTGATGCACTTCAGTGCTGTGCTGGAAGAACACAGGGCTGTAATTAGTTGAGCCCTGTTTTTCTGATAACTACTTAAGCCTTAATATCCTGAAAAGCATGGTATTTTTCTATCAAAAAGGAAGGTTTATGTTCTGTAGTTCTATAGAACCTCATTCTTAAGGGGAAGCAGTCCATTATTACATAGAATAGATTTCCTGCATGCTTTTCAACATTATTTGCTTAATAGAATCATTAGTAGCACAATTGCTTATAGAGAAAAGCGCCAACTAACCAGAAAAATGCTCTGCAGGTCTCAGGCTGCAGTACATATAATGCTGCTCTGTACTTGATAAGCAAGGAGATCCTTCTGTATTTATTTTGAAAGCTGGTATCATGTTGAGAAGCTGAAGGCTTCCTTAAAGCAAGGTTTTAGGACAGTTAGGACTGAACTTATAATTGCTATTTGATGGCAAGGTCAACAGCTTTCAGACCTCAGAATACTGAATGGTTGCAAACCCATACTCTCCAAATACAGCTGCAAATATATCACCCTCTACCTCTGCTCCACCCACACATTGCAAATAGCTATGGGAGGAAAACATCTACTGCTGAGCAAGAAGGTTCCTAAATGATAAGCATCAATAATTTAATCAACTATAATTTATTCCTTCGTTACTCATTGCACTATGGTAAAAATGAACATCTTCGTGCTTTGCTCTTTCTTTTCTGGCAGTATTACCATAAGTACAGGTTCCTTTTTTTATTCCTGCAGATTCAGTGCATCCACAGGCAACGATTTATCACAGCAGCGTGAGCGAGTGTGTGCAAAGAATGGCAGGCTGAGAATTGCTCTGCTCACAAAACCCATGGGCAGGCAATCTCTACAGAGCTCAGGACACACAGGGGAGGGGAGGAAATGTGCTTTTGGTTAGATAGGTAATTACTCATACTGCCCATCAGGAGTTTTATTGTGCATTATTTTTCTTTTTAATCTGTGAAGTAGCTGACCTAAGGTTTGTAGCTCATTCTGAGGAGAACCTGTATAGTTTGCATAATGTGCCCTGAAATTGGCTACTGAACCCAAAATGCCACTGTAACAATTGCCATCAAGAAGAGGCAACATGGCTTGAGAGTGTCTGTAGCTGTTAGACAGTCCATTCATTGCAGCTTAGTGTTGAATAAAATCCATTTTAGTTTGTGTGAGAAGCTAGATACTTGAATAAAAAAGAAGTCTGAAGATAGGGTGTTAGTCTGAATGTCCAGGCTTCCATAACCCACTGTAGTAATGTTGCATAGAGAGTATACAAAAGCACAGGCCCCATCCAGTGGAGTTTTAGATATCTCCAAGGATAAAGCTTCTCCACTCACTTGCCCCTGTACTGGTGTTTGATCACCTGCATGGTGGAAAAAATAAAATAAGAACCATGCAAATATCTGATCAGAATTTCAAGCACTAGTCTTGATTTGGTGTTGTCTGCAGACTTGTGGAGAATATTGTGTAGGTAATTTTAAAAAGGGTTTTAAATAGCATTGAGTTTAATATCTGTCTCAGATGTTAGTGGTGGCAGCAGTTGGAGGTAGTGCTGTTGATCACGAGACTGGGGTTTTTCACTTTAGCCAGTTATGCTGTGTTTATAGGATTGGAGCAAAGTCTGATGACTTTAATGTTTCACCCTGTTTTGTATAACATGCCCGGATGTAGTTCCTCTCTCGTTGGTTAATGTCCCCCATGCCCTCCCCATTGAAAAGAGCAAAGCAAGGAGAGTCTTGTCACTGATGTGTCACTTATGAGCCACACAGTCATAACTGATGTTGAGATGTATCTTGGTGTAGCTCAGCAGTGCTGACCTGAAGGGCCCTTTTCCTCTTTTTCCTTCTTTTGCAGAGCACCCATGAGAATGGGCCATTCTTGCATTGCATGGCTTGTATTTTGGGAGCAGCAGATTCTTGGCAATTCCAGCTTTCATGGGTTTGGGAGCAAAATATCACTAGGCTGCTGCTTTGTGGTGTGGAGAGACCAGTCAGGATGAGGGTTGGGAGGTTGTGAGGCAGGCAGCATACCCAGAATGTCAGCAGGATCATCCACCACAGCTCTCACTGTTCTCATGGGTTGCCTTGACTGTCTCCTGCCCATGTTCAACTACTAACGATGGCCTGAGGGTCAGGGTTGGTTGTAGAGCAGGGTTTGGGAATAGTTTGTTTTAGCAGTGATGTACTTCAGTTACAAAGGAGTGGAGGTTACTTAGATCCTGTTAATCACTTTGAATACCAGGTGCTCTACCCCAGGGGTGGGTAAACAAGTCAGATGTCAGGGAGCAGAGAGGCTGGAGTGCTCTGCAAGGGCAGGTGAGCTGGGGAACTGAGAGTGATGCTGAGTCTGGCAGAGCAGTGACCTCCCAAACCAAGGACGAGAGGCCCCAGCCAAGACCTCTCCTGTATCTTTCCCCCATGTGGCTCTTCCCAGCAGTTGGATCCCAGGGTGTCACTCTGCCAGGTCAGAGCAGGCCCTGAGCAGCCAAACCCTGCTGGGGAGAGGTTGCAGAGTGTTTTGATGCACTTGGACCATTACATTGCAGCAGGAGATGTGAATCTCTCTAATTTGTGCATCTGAAACTTTGTAGGTGCTACTGAAGATTAACAGTAAGACTTGTTATTTTATCATGTGGAGTGTTTTCTTAGAGTTGATAAAAAGAATTAGGACCTGAAACTCCGTGTGTTTTATCTAGCAACTTAATCAGCCATGAGACTGACTCTGCAAAGCAGATCATAGGCTGCTAATGAAGATTCCTCTGATATGTGTAACACCTGAGGTATGTTGACAGCAGACAGAAATCAAAGGAAAAATTTGTGTTTTTCAGCTACAGACTTGACAGAAGGTGAATTTTGAGAGCAGTAATGTCAGCCTGAGCACCATGTCTGACTATATTATAGTATGGGAACTTTATTTCCAGATTAATAACACAAAAGAAAGGGGATAGTGTTTACAGATCAAGAGACCAAATCTGTAGCCTCATCTCCCTGACTGAGAGCAGGACCATCTGTTTCTTGCTAACGTTTGCAAGTGTCAGCTTTTGTTGCATTCCATCTTCCTTGCTGCTCAGGGAAAATCATTTGCTAATTAACAAGAAAAATCTCCTGGCATGTAATAAATATAGAGACCTTTCTTTAAACCTTTCCAGCTTTACTGAGAGGTGTCTAGTCTTCAGATGGCCAGCTCTTAACAAATGATGGTACGTGTCATAGGTAGCTGTCGTGTCCCCTGTGATCTGATCTACTCTGCTCAGGAGAATGGCAACGTGTTTGGAAAACACACAGCCTTAGTCATGGTTCTGCTACTCCGCTGGCCAAATGACAAGGCATCTCTTGCTTTTACTGCTTTCCCACTATTTTTCTTGCCATAATGTTTTCATACTTGTTAAAATAGTATGGGTTTGTTGTGTTACAAGTGGCTATGTGGTCATACTTTCAATTCCAACTGGCTTCTCTTTGTTCTGTGCAGTTACTATTCAGAAATTTAATGTGTTACTTATTTGTTTTTCCAGATCCTTCCATAGCAGTGTTGTGTAAAATGGAGTCTAATGTTAATCCTTGTGAAAGCACACTTACAAATAACACTCTT